ACTGTTGGGATAAATTTTCCAATCAGATTCTGTAGTGGGAGGTTGCCTGTTCTGCAGAGGCAGCCTGTGGAATACAGGCCTTTTATGGACTTATTACCTTCATCTGATGCTTTCCTTACACAATGTCAAATTTGCTTTTAATTGTAGCATCTGGGTTTGAAGTTAAAATATCAATGGAGCCAGTGAATAAGATGGCACTGAAATTTCTGTCCACCTGCTGAAAGTGGCAGGTACTAAATAGCTCTTTAAACCAAGTAAACCGAGCTGGGGACATAGGAGAGTCTGCTTAGCAACCAAATGCAGAAAATGAAGCATTACTATATTTTAAGTGTTTTCTGAGCAGCAAAAAAAATTGTTTTACTCTATGCTGCCCAAAAAAGTGCAGTGGTTCAGATCAAATGGCCTGAAAGTGTCATAATTGTCATCTCCCCAGACTTGCTCCTTGTTCCTGACACTGAGTACATTTTATGGTGGTGAGATCACAACGTATGACCTTCTCTTGCTTACAGAGATCCTTTATACTGCTAGATTTCCCAGGGCACAGTTGTTGACTGGGTCAGTTTTAAAGCTTTTTAAGGAGGTGAATGTTTTGTAATTTAAATGAAGACTACTTCTGTACTTGTTTACAGGAGCTTCCCCCAGTCCTAACATTTCACAGTATTCTAACTTCATTAGACACTTGGTTGCTTCCAAATACCACATTGATTTGCTAAACTTTTCAAAAGTTGGCAACATTTGACTTTGTAAAGCAAATGTCTTTGCTAACTACGCAGTTGGTGTGTTTGAGGAGTCTTTTTGGTCTAGGTGATAACTAAGCTAATCATGTTTATCTAAAATACCTGTTAAATTTGCAGCATTTATTAGGTAGATTCTTGTTTCTATAGCTTTAATGACCTTAATTGGCATATGGCTGAGATTTTATCAGAGTATTATCTAAATAAGAATCAGACCATAAGAAGGACATTTTTATGGTGTACAAACAGAATATTTATATTAAGACATTGATTTTGGAGGTAATAAATCTAGTGACCCTTTGAATTTGCATTCTTCCGCAGCTCATGCAAAACGTACTGGTGTTTTATGGGGTTATAAAATTTTAATTGTGAATGCTAGTGTAACAGAACCTGCTCTTTTTATTCATGGCCATGTGAGCAAGAATGGAAGGATGCTAATCTTGAATTCCTGCTTTTAGTTATCACAGTGGATGTTTCTCTGAGGCACGAGATGCTTAGCAGCAACTCTAAGTTGATTTCTGGACACTTCCCTGCCCCCCCCCAATGGATTTTCCTCCCATTTCCTGCAATATGAGCAAGATGGAAAGTTGATCAATTTGAATGGCTGTTGTCCAGTTACTGTAATTTCAGTCATATTTTTATATAATGCAAATGATTTGTAATGGACACCACTGATCTCGGTGTTTCCATATTATTAAAGTCCTGGTTGTGATGTCTAGTGGCTGTTCTAACTGCATGTATTTTAGAACAGTGAATTTCCCTTGCTTTCCTCGGCTGTTTCTTTGTCATAAATTACAGCCAAAGAAGCAGCAGGTACTTCTCATTCATGCTTCCAAGGTTTAACACCAAAGACAAAAATAATTCTTTTGATTACAGAATTAAAAAGCAAACAAAAGCCCTAAGAAACTCATAACAAACGAACAAAAAAAAATCCCAAGAAGAGATGAAAAAAACTCACTCATCAGGTTCTTGCAATGATAACAGATTTAACTTAAAGACACTTTGGGGTCCATGACAGGAGTCTTTCTGAAGCTAGCTCGTGACTGTCCTGTGAACCAGACATAAACCGGTCTCTGAACCAGCGTGAGTTTCTGTGCTGCCTAAACTGTCATGTGAACTAAATAGAAAATTGCTGTGAGTAATCACCAGCTGGCCTTTGTTGCTCCCAGGCAGAATATCCTCTCCTTTATCCAAAGGAGCCTGGCAGGTTGGGCTGCCTTACAGATGGATTCTGGTTCTTACAGCCTTTGGTTCTCTTGCAGGACAGGACTGTAACCTCAGCACAGGCAAACATGGGCAGTTGTTCTGAAGCTTAACCAAAAACCAGGCAAAGCAGATGTTAGATTCTTGAGATATTTCTGCCTGGAAGGGAAGATTTGATGCCTTCTAGAAGTCAAAGGAAAAGGTGAGAATATAAAATCAGAAAATTGGGATCCCATGTGAGCAAGAACAAGCATTTGAAGTTTTGCTTTTCTCTGGGCTCCCTGGAGCAAAGGCATAGTTGGCAATGCTATCCTGCACCCAGGGTCTGTGCAGCAGCATTCCATGGTGTAGAAAGGCAGCTGACCTTGAGCTGAAAGAGAATGAGCTAAGAAAGGTCATCCATTTAAGAGCTATAATGTGCAACATGCCTGATTAGTTTGGTGTGGTTTAACCAACCTGTTCTGTACAGTTTTGGAGCATGAAGATGGTGTGATACTCAATATTGGCAGGAATCTGGTTAGAGCACCAGCAGTGAGCAAAGCTGGAACGTGTGAGTGGTCCAGGGAGTAAGTGGAGCACCTGTTTGTGACCATCTGCCCCATCCTGCTCCATGAGCTGAGCTGTATCTCAGCTCATTTCTTTTCACTTTGACTGTTCATCACAGTTGTTGTAGAGAACAAGCCTGGGTGTTCTGTTACCGCTCAGTGTTCAGTAAATCTGCCATGGAGTCTCTGAAATTGGCACTAGAGAGAGATCTAGTTTTTAATAAAGAACTCAGCAGCAAAGTGGGCACAGAGGATCATGTCTTCGAGACCCAGAGGAAGACAAGTCTCCTGTTTGTGATTCCCTGCTTGTGATTGTGGTGAAGTCAGTGAGAGGAGCTTTCAGTGGTCAAATATCCTGGCATATGGTATTTCTGTCTAATGTCACAGCACAGGTTTCAAAATGTAAAAGAACAAGAAAGGGCAAAAGTGCTCTATTTTTAGAAACAAAAGTGCAAAACTTAAAACTTTAAAATAAAACTTTAAAAACAAAGTGCAATTTTGCACAGAGGGCAACAAAACCCGGAATCCCTTTGAATGTCACTTCCATTCTTTCTTTTTTTGTTGGCTGAAAGCAGACTCTTGTTCTTGACATGTATTTGTAAACTAGTCTTGCCAAAATACAAACACGTTGGGTTTTTTCACTCCAGATAATTTTTGTTGTTATGGTTATTGCTGATCATTTTAACTTTTTTCAAACCATATATTTTATTTCAAGAGGCCTTCCCTGTGGATTTCCTCCTGGAGCTCTGCAGCACTCCACTGCTATTTCAAGAGGCAAGAGAAAGTCACTAACCTCACAGGAGACACTCAGCTTAGCTGGCTGGAGCTAATAATGCGCTACTAATTTTCCTCTGTGGGGCAGGAGGGGAATTGAATTCTGCATAAAGTTGCTACCTCAAGGCTCCAAGTGCTTTTAAAGGTCTTTCACTTGGGAAAATTTAATAAGACAGTTCTTAAAATTGGTCTGTTCTTTTGAGTTAAATGTTTTTTTTTAATTAATTCATTGAGGGACCCTTATTTTAATTCATTTTACTTTTAGTACTTGATTCTCAAAGGATGAACAGCTGCGAAGTTTGGTTCTTGCACTGTAGTGTTGAACATGAAAGAAAAATATCTGCCATATAAAACCATATGGTTTTAACAAGTTAAACCACTCTGGGGTTCAGCTTCACTTTTGGTTAATAAAAAACTGACCTGTTGTGTCCAGCCTTCCTGTACAGTCCTGTGTGTGCTCGTTATTGACTCACTGCAGCTGACACAGCCCCAGCCTTACAACAGCTCCCTGGATGCACTTGGGGGGCCTCAGGTCCTGTAGCTCCTGTTGCCAGAGCCTCATGGAGAGCAGCACCCACCCTGCTGCAATAACCAAAAGAGATTTATACAGCACCTGACCTCCAAGTTTTGCTGTTTGGCGATAAAATTTTACTAATCTTAAAAGTAATACCAACTTCTGTAGGTATTGTCAGTCCCAATAAAACTGGCTGCTCTGATTAAGTCTTGCCAAATTATCATAGAACTGATTTATTGAGCATTGTAGTAACTGGTTCTTGGTTTCCACAAGAAACATTATATTCCTGAAGGTCTCTTATTGGCCTGCACTTACATCTACTGAATTTTACAGCTGCCTTTTATTTAACCTAACTAACAACCTGAAAATTACTTTGGTACATGTGAAATACTACTTGCTTTTGCTGAAGTATTTTTTTCTGAATGTTTGGTGTTTTATGTACAGTTTTTAAGTCAGTCTGGGAGTGGAGTCCAGGTGGATTGTGGTGCTAAACATGAGAAAGCTCTGCTGGAATAACACAGGACCTTTGCACAGGCTGAGCAGTGTGATGGCAGAGGCAACTGGTGTCCTTTGAGTTGGGCCATGACTCAAACATCAGATCAGGCTATTGCAGTGTTATCCTGATGATACCAGTTCCTAGGTAAACCTTTCTGTAAAAGAAGGAAGATCCTGTGAAGTTCTTTTGCCGGGGCTAATGTTTCACCATTTCGGCAGAGCAGAGATACTTCCATCCTTTCTGCTGTTTCTCTCCCAAGGATATATTTCACACCAATTTTTAGATCAGGTACAAGGTACTAAAATTGTGTTATTTTACCTTCTCAAGTAGGTGTTGATCTGCCAGCCTCGTGCTGTGCACTTCTCAAATCCGTTTCAGCTGCGTGTACTGCAGAACAGAGGCTGGGATAACACAGTGCCCTCAGTGTTTGTGACCTGTCACGGTGCCAGGCATCACCTTCACCGGGACCACGCTGCCTCGGGAACTGCATCGCGACCACCACACTTGTTTGAAGGGGAAGCGAAGGAGCATCTCTGCGTGCCGCTCTCCCAACAGCGTGTTTGTGGCGCAGCGCTCAATATTTGCCTTTCCGAAGCGAAAACCTCGCGTGTAGCACTTGGAAACGCCATCTGTTCCCGCAGCTTCCCCGAGGTTCCTGTCAGACCCCGACGCTGCCCGTCTGCAGGGCTGAGCTTGGCTGCCCCCGCTGGGTGGGGCCGCGGCGCGCGGTTGCCATGGCGACGCTGACCGCGCGCGGCCGCCGTACGGAAGGGGCGGGCGCGCGGCCCCGAGCCGCCATTGGCCGGGCGGGGGCGCGCGCGCCGGGAGGGGCGGGGTCGGGTCGGGCCATGGCGGCGCGCGCGGAGCCGC